CCATACATCTCTCTATATGGGGCGACTGATGAATCACGGAGACTTACCAGCCGCCCCATACATCTCTCTATATGGGGCGACTGATGAATCACGGAGACTTACCAGCCGCCCCATACATCTCTCTATATGGGGCGACTGATGAATCACGGAGACTTACCAGCCGCCCCATACATCTCTCTATATGGGGCGACTGATGAATCACGGAGACTTACCAGCCGCCCCATACATCTCTCTATATGGGGCGACTGATGAATCACGGAGACTTACCAGCCGCCCCATACATCTCTCTATATGGGGCGACTGATGAATCACGGAGACTTACCAGCCGCCCCATACATCTCTCTATATGGGGCGACTGATGAATCACGGAGACTTACATCTTAGTGCTTATTGTTTACATGAATATAGCTGATCTTTATACCTTTTATAAGCAACTCAGCTCTCACGTTCTCCAGCCCGGGGTATTTTTAGCCGTCCCTAACACCACTCTGTGACAGCAGAGTTCTTCGGGTCTTGGCTGGCTTTCTGGCCGTCTGCTGCGATGTGGTAATGATGCCTAATGGTGCCCTCTGCCACCCACCTCCTTCCCCCTCAGCTAAACCTGATGCCTGCTGAGTCCGGTCTCTAGGATTTTAACCTGCAGTAAGTGGATGGGGATTTGTTTTAGCAGGCTGTGTGATACTGTGATGCCGTCTGTCTGTTTTGAATGTTTTTTTGGGGCCTGGTCCTCATTGGAACTGTGTGTGTGTGTGTGTGTGTGTGTGTGTGTGTGTGTGTGTGTTCGTGCGTGCGTGGACAACTGAAAGAGAAGGCCTGTCACTAAGGGCTTTGGATTGGAACCAGTCTGTGCACACTGCAATATAAAAATTTTAATTGAAGATGGGAACCACGCGCCACAATGATTTAATCACATCTCCCACAACTGCCTACAAGTCAGGGACAATTAGAATCAACTTCTCTCTACACTGGCCTCTATGTCCTGTGGCTGTAGGTTAGATGTGTTATCGCCGGTGTTAACAATGCTAATCTAACGGTATCACAACAGATAAAAGGGGAAACCCAGATAGATAGATAGTTCACAGGGGGTATAAATCTGAAGCGTCCGTTTAGAACTTCCAGTCACCACCAACTATGATGAGAGGAAGTCCGGTGGCAGGAAGAAGGAGCTAGATGAAACTGGGCCGACCTTTTAGCACATTTTCTCCTGGATGAAACATTCTGTTCCCCAAACTAATATCTGTCACGAACAGAGTGTATACGTTCTGTAGACTACCCTTTGCCAAAGTTTCCCAAAATTGCATTGTTAAGGGTGAATTGAGTTATTGCACACACGCTCTTCAGAGAAGGCGTTCCCTAACAGAAATATGCAAATTCATGCTAAAACACAGCAATAGGATCTCGCTAGCTCGTGCTTGGCTCTGCCCACTTCCTTGCTTGTTCTGCCCACTGTTCCTGTTGGAAACGACGCAGATGAACTATCTTTGGTTAGTTACCAGTATCTCTGATATCACATTGGAGTGTTTGCATGCTTAGGCCTTTGTTGTTTTCACTGTCATTCCACGAGACTCATCCCAGAGCAGCGCAGTGTAGCTGATGCAATTACAGTGAGGGGAAAAAAGTATTTGATCCCCTGCTGATTTTGTACGTTTGCCCACTGACAAAGACATGATCAGTCTATAATTTTAATTGTAGGTTTATTTGAACAGTGAGAGACAGAATAACAACAAAAAAAATCCAGAAAAACGCATGTAAAAAAATGTTATAAATTGATTTGCATTTTAATGAGGGAAATAAGTATTTGACCCCTCTGCAAAACATGACTTAGTACTTGGTGGCAAAACCCTTGTTGGCAATCACAGAGGTCAGATGTTTCTTGTAGTTGGCCACCAGGTTTGCACACATCTCAGGAGGGATTTTGTCCCACACCTCTTTGCAGATCTTCTCCAAGTCATTAAGGTTTCGAGGCTGACGTTTGGCACCTCAAACCTGAGCAGGGGGACCTTGCGGGCGCTGCAGGATTTCAGTCCTTCACGGCGTAGTGTGTTACCAATTGTTTTCTCAGTGACTATGGTCCCAGCTGCCTTGAGATCATTGACAAGATCCTCCCGTGTAGTTCTGGGCTGATTCCTCACCGTTCTCATGATCATTGCAACTCCACGAGGTGAGATCTTGCATGGAGCCCCAGGCCGAGGGAGACTGACAGTTATTTTGTGTTTCTTCCATTTGCGAATAATCGCACCAACTGTTGTCACCTTCTCACCAAGCTGCTTGGCAATGGTCTTGTAGCCCATTCCAGCCTTGTGTAGGTCTGTCTACAATCTTGTCCCTGACATCCTTGGAGAGCTCTTTGGTCTTGGCCATGGTGGCGTGTTTGGAATCTGATTGATTGATTGCTTCTGTGGACAGGTTTATTTTATACAGGTAACAAGCTGAGATTAGGAGCACTCCCTTTAAGAGTGTGCTCGTAATCTCAGCTCGTTACCTGTATAAAAGACACCTGATTGAGAGGGGGTCAAATACTTATTTCCCTCATTAAAATGCAAATCAATTCATAACATTTTTGACATGCGTTTTTCTGGATTGTTTTGTTGTTATTCTGTCTCTCACTGTTCAAATAAACCTACCATTAAAATTATAGACTGATCATTTCTTTGTCAGGGGGCAAACGTACAAAATCAGCAGGGGATCAAATACTTTTTTCCCCTCACTGTATACCCCCCGGTGGTGTGAATAAAGCGAGTGTTAATTCCCTTAACTGAGCTATGCATGCTTCTCTGGGCAGCAGGATGACGTGGGGGAGATGCTAGCTGATTAGCCGGCCTAGAGTATTGTATCAGAGGGGTGAGTCTACCCTGCAGTGCTAATGAGGAATTTGGCATGAGAGAGAGAGAGTGGAGGCAGGCGTGGGATGATGTCAGACTTGCATGTCTGGAGATCAGACTCCACAGGCAGAATACACTGCACACGGAGCACAATGAGAGGGGGTGAATAGCCTTAGGCGGTACCTGTGTCAATGCAATGTACAATAGCAGCGTAATTGGCACACAATACTAGTATTATGTGAAGCATACAATAATACTAGGCAGATAGTATTACATGTCTAACGTTAGCTAATTCTGGAGTATAGGGCCTAGTACTAGCACTGGTACTGTGCCGTTTTGTACCTTGTGTTGATGATAACTATGTTTGCTAGCCTTGTTGTTGTTAGCCCTTGATTAGCTTTTGCATTAGCTTTGATGCTATCCCTAGTTTTAGTTCCTGTGGTCTTCCAAGGAGGCTAATGCAGTTTTATAGCTCTTCAAGTAGTGACTTTGGTGTAGCCTTATTGCTAGCCCGTGCATCATCCATATAAGCTTACCACGTGACTGTGCTTTTTGGCTGGCTTTCCGGCTCTGGTTAAGGCGGAGGGGCCCAGCTGTGTGTGGTTTCGCCACCAGACAAAGAGCAGACGCAGAAACCTCAAGACCTGAGAGAGCGAAAGACAGAGAAAGCCAGGGAGATTCATTTCCCCTCGCTCCAGTTCACCTTCTAAAACCACTCAACCCAAGCTGGTACCTCGTCGCTCCGTGTCTGAGAGGGACCGGGCTCTCCCTCTGACCCCTGCCCTCCGCATCTCTCCCCGGGGCTCTCCGACTGATGAGTCACTGTGTGTGCTCCTCCCCTCCCCCTGCTCTGAGAAAAGACAGTCTGAGACTTTGTGAACAGTGAGGCAGGAGCCTCAAGCCTCTAGAACCTTCTAGCTGTAGGTGGCTGTGCAGATCTGTGCGCGTCACAAGTGTACACACACACACATTGTCGTCTCCTCGCTCTGATTAGTTCAGTAGGGCAGCGTGATTCTTCCTGATATCCAGGAATGCTGGCTAGCTGGAGCAAAATGGAGGACTTGCATTGACATTCTGGCTCTTTTTAAACTACTGGCCCCCCAAAACCCCTTAAGGGGGCCTCTTCAACACGATGTCAGGTGAGGGTAGTGTTGAAAAGAGCCTGTCGCAATCAGCGATAATGGGATAATAACGTGTTAATCAAACCGTATACAGAGTCTGATTATCATTATCGGCTGAACAGAGAGTCTTCCAAACGTGGTTGAAGGGTTAATGCTTCAGTAATTCATTTTGATGCTGCTGTGTAAGAACGTTATTTTCCTTCTCGGACGACGCGGTCATGCAAGTGAATCCTCCGGTTCCCGCACATGTTGACCTGTGATGTATCTGATGAAAATAGTGATGTCATCACTACTAATAGTACCCCAGTACATTGAGTGGAAAGTTCCAGGAAATGTGAGGAATGTACCCACACCAGCTCATTTGATCAGCCTGAGTAGTTTAATCCCTTGCTTTTGTGAGAAGGGATGACCAGACTGTGAATTCTAGTGGCCTTGAAAAAGACACTGAAATCAGACCGATCAGATAAGGCCCTCGTAGTAATGTAGATAATGTAGAAATCATCAAATGAAGACTGGAAAATGAACTTGAAGTGAGGCAAGTTAACAAGCTCAATGGAGTACTGAAGACCACAAGTCACGCGTGTTTTTGCTTACTTTGCTGTATCAGGTTGTTAAACTGAGCTATAACACTGAGGAACAGGTCTTAGATGTCACTGTGTTTGTGAATGTGCCTTTTGTGTTATTCAGTATGTCTTACTTAATACAACTAATAACACACCCTGAGTTTGTGGTGTTGAAGTATTTTTCTGCTTAGTGCTAAACTTCACTCAGAATAGCCCAGCGCCACAGTTTAGCATTTCCTGAGTGTGCTGGACCCATGCCTTTATAAACGCTCCCCTTCTCTCACCCCTCTGTCCAGCACTGGGTTAGAGTGAGCGACGAAGGAAGAGAGACTGGTGGAATTAGAAAAAGAGAGGAAGTGTGACAGAAACAGAGAGAAGAAAGAGAGAGGGGGGTAAAGGAAAGGGGAAAAAAAAAGAGGGAGAGAAAGGGAGAGAGAGAGTGTGACGTTACTGAAGGGGGGAGTGGCCGTAACTCCTCATCCTTATACGGTCACATGCAGTCCTGGCACGGATACTGGGGAGCAGCCAAAACAGGCTCATTTAAAGCTCACATAAACACCGGCCCACATAAACGGCCCCTCCACAGCACTGCACATCCTCCTCCCCACAAGCCAAGTGGAAGGGAAGAATGCTGTGGAATTTGAAAGGGAGTGCATTTAGAATTACTGGGCTTTTAGAGGGGGCCCAGCGTTTTTTCTGACTTTACCTTAGCCAAGAAGGCCTGAAAAAGGAAATGCGCCTCGGCCCTATTTGGCAGACACCTACCTGGCAGCCATTTTGGAAAGAGTGAGAACTTAGTATGAAACAAATGTAGAGGAATGACCTGTGTGAGAATGTAGGGGAATGACCTGTGTGAGAATGTAAGGGAATGACCTGTGTGAGAATGTAGGGGAATGACCTGTGTGAGAATGTAGGGGAATGACCTGTGTGAGAATGTAGGGGAATGACCTGTGTGAGAATGTAGGGGAATGACCTGTGGAATGTAGGGGAAACGTGAGAATGTAGGGGAATGACCTGTGTGAGAATGTAGGGGAATGACCTGTGTGAGAATGTAGGGGAATGACCTGTGTGAGAATGTAGGGGAATGACCTGTGTGAGAATGTAGGGGAATGACCTGTGAGTGAAGGTATGAGTCAGTAGTCCCGACTCAGCTCGTCATTTAAATAAATGCAGGCAACACAATGTCTTTATAAGGAGGATGTTTCTGTGTTTTGTTCTGCCACTGAGCTGTGTCTTTTTGACCCAGGGGACGTCTACGATGTGTGCGCCATCTGCCTGGATGAGTATGAGGAGGGAGACAAGCTCCGGGTCCTTCCCTGCTCTCACGGTGAGCCTGGCCTGCCATGCACTGTACTCCCTCACACACGCACAATAACCTACTGCCCTCTACCCCCACACACACACAACAACCTACTGCCCTCTACCCCCACACACATAATAACCTACTGCCCTCTAATCTGGTCTGCCGACCAGACAACAATCCTACTGGCCTTACACCCCGTATAAACCGTACTGCCTTGATTTCGCACGACTAGCTGCCTTACCAACAGCTAAACATATGGCCCATCTACCTGATGAGAAGAGGACGACCTTTATTTCCTTCCTCTCAGCGTACCTCCTTATGCACTGTGATGCCCAAACCCTCTTGACTCCTTCCCACTGAAGGCACCCTACCCTCTATCGGTCGCCACCACCAAGGGGGGGGCCGCCACCCTTCCTCTACCCTACGAAACCTCCGCCCTCACCCCCCACCACATACACCTTACTGCCCTCTACCCCCCCCACCCCCTCACTCCCTCTGCCCCCCCACACCACCCAACGGCCCCCCCCTCTTGCCCGTACCCCCCCCACAACCCAAACCTACTGCCCTCTACCCCCACCACACACAACCTACTGCCCCCCCCCCCCCCCACCCACCAACCCTACTGCACTCTACCCCCACACACCCAACACCTACTGCCCCTACCCCCCCACAACACCAACAACCTACTCCCTCTACCCCCCACCACCCACACAACCTACTCTGCCCTCTACCCCCCACACCACCCACCAACAACCTCTGCCCTCTACCCCCCCACAACACACACAACCTACTCCCTCTACCCCCCCCCCACCCCACAAAAACCTACTGCCCTCACCCCCACCCCCCACCACCTCACTCCCTCTACCCCCCCACACGCCACCGCCCTCACCCACACCTACCCTACTCGCCCTCGTACCCGCCCCCCCCACCACCCCCCACCCCCCCCCCCACCCCCACCACTGCCCTCTACCCCCCCCCACCCACACAACCCCACACAACCCTACTCCCTCTCCTCACCCCCCCCCCACACACAACAACCTACTGCCCTCTACCCCCCCAACACACCACAACAACCTACTGCCCTCTACCCCCCCACACCACACAACCCTACTGCCCTCTACCCACCACACACAAACCACCTACGTGCCCTCTACCCTCCCCCCCCCCACACACCTACACTCCTCCCCCCCCCCCCACACACACACAAAAACCTCTGCCCTCTACCCCCCACACACACCAACAACCTACGCCCTCACCGCCCCCACACACACTCCACAACAACCTACTGCCCTCTACCCCCACCCCACACAACACCTACTGCCCTCTCCCCCCCACACCACACAACAACCTACTGCCTCTACCCCCCCACACACCCAAAAAACTCTACTGCCCTCTAACCCCCCACCACACACACAACAACCTACTTGCCCTCTACTCCCCCCACACACACACAACACCTAAACTGCCTTCTACTACCACCCCCCCCCACACACCAACACCTCTGCCTCTACCCCCCACACAACACAACACGCCTGACTTACTGCCCTCTACCCCCCACACCACAACCTACTGTCCTCTACCCCCCCACACACACAACACCCACTGCCTCTCCCCCACCCACAACACACACAACAACCTACTGCCCTCTACCCCCACACACACACACAACAACCTACTGCCCTCTACCCCCCCACACACACACACACCAACCTACTGCCCTCTACCCCCCCCACACACACACAACAACCTACTGCCCTCTACCCCCCCCACCATCAACACAACAACCTACTGCCCTCCCTACCCCCACACCACACACACACAAGCAACCTACTGCTGCCCTCTACCCCCGCACACACACAACACCCTTACTGCCCTCTTATACACCCCCACCACACACCACAACAACCTACGGCCCTCTACCCCCCCCCCACACACACACAACAAAACCTACTGCCCTCAAACCCACCCACACCACTCACAAACAACCTACTAGCCCCTAATCCGCACACACCACACAACAAACCTACTGAACCTACCTTGGCCCTCTAACCCACACACACACACCAACAACCTACTGCCCTCTACCCCCACACACCAACACCTAACCTACTGCCCGCGACCCCCACACCACACACAACCACCTACTTGCCCCTCCTACCCCCCCACACACACAACAACCTACTGCCCTCTACCCCCACACACCCAACACCTACTGCCCTCTTACCCCCCCACACCACACACACAACAACCTACTGCCCTCTACCCCACCCCACACACCACACACAACCTACCTACTCCCTCTACCCCCCACACCACCCTCACCCAACCAACCACTCTGCCCTCTACCCACCACACACACCAACCACTGCCCTCTACCCCCACACACAACAACACCTACTGCCTCTACCCCCAACCCACAACAACACAACAACCTACTGCCTCTACCCCCACACACAAAAACCTACTCCCACTCTACCCCACCCACACACACACACAACACCTACTGCCCTCACCCCCACCACACACCAACAACCTACTGCCCTCTCCCCTCCGCACAAACAACAATTGCCCTTACCCCCCACACACCACACAAACACCCTATTGCCCTCTACCCCCCACACCACACAACCTACTGCCCTCTACCCCACACAAACCCACAACCTAAACTGCCCTCTACCTCCCCACACACACACACACAACCTACTGCCTCTACCCCCCCCCACACCAACAACCTACTGCCCTCTACCCACCCACACACAACAACCTACCCCGACCCAAACCTACTGCCCTCTACCCCCCACACACCCAAAACAACCTACTGCCCCCTACCCCCCACACACCAACAACCTACTGCCCTCTACCCCCCACACACCAACAACCTATGCCCTCTACCCCCCCACACCCCCAACAACCTACTGCCCTCCTACCCCCCCACACCACAAAAACCCGCCTAACCCACACCCCAACAACCTACTGCCCTCTACCCCCCCCCACACCCCCCTACCCCCACACTCAACACCTACTGCCTCTACCCCCACACAACCAACCTACTGCCCTCTACCCCCCACACACACCAACAACCTACTTGCCCTCTAACCCCCCACACACCCAACAACCTACTGCCCTCTACCCCCCCCACACCCAACAACCTACTGCCCTCTACCCCCCACCAAAACCTACTGCCCTCACCCCCCCCCCAACAACCTACTGCCCTCTACCCCCCACACCCAACAACCTACTGCCCTCTACCCCCCCCCACCCAACAACCTATTTGCCCTCTACCCCCCACACCCAACAACCTACTGCCCTCTCCCCCACACCCCCACACCCCCAACAACCTACTGCCCTCTAACCCCCCCACCCACCACCCTAACCCCACACACCCAACAACCTACTGCCTCTACCCTCTACTACCCCCCCCCCACACACAACAACCTACTGCCCTCTACCCCCCACACACCCAACAACCTACTGCCCTCTACCAACCCCCCCCCCCACACACCCAACAACCCTACTGCCCTCTACCCCCCACACCCCAACAACCTACTGCCCTCAAACCCCCCCACCCACACCACTACACCTACTGCCCTCTACCCCCCACACCCCAACAACCTACTGCCCTCTACCCCCCTACCCCCCACACCTACCGCCCGCAACCCACCTACTGGCCTCTACCCCCACAAAACCCCCAACCTACTGCCGCCTACCCCCCCTCTATGAATACACCCACAACACACCAACACTACTGCCTTACTACCCCCACACTACAACCTACTGCCCTCCCCCACACACACAACAACTACTGCCCCTCTACCCCCCCCCCCCACACACACACCTACTGCCCTCTACCCCCCCACAAACACCCAACACCTACTGCCCCTACCCCCCCACCCAAACACCCACCAACAACCTCCTGCCCTCTACCCCCACACCCCAACACCCTGCCTCACCGCCCCCAACACCTACTCCCTCACCCCCCTACCCACCCCCGACAACAACCTACTCGCCCTCTACCCCACACACACAACAACCTACTGCCCTCTACCCCCCCACAACACCACACACCCAACAACCTACTTCCCTCTCCCCCCCCACACCAACAACCTACTGCCCTCTACCCCCCCACACACCCACACAACAACCTACTGCCCTCCCTACCCCCCCCCCCCCCACACACACAACAACCTACTGTCCCTCTACCCCCCACCACACACCCACACACACCAACCCAACAACTCTCCCTGCCCCCACGCCACACACCGCACACACACACACACCAACAACCTACTGCCCTCTACCCACACCACACAACCAACACCTACTGCCCTCACCCCCCCCCACACAAAACAACCTACTCCCTCTACCCCCACACCCACACACCAACCAACCTCTGTCCTCTACCCCCCCACCACACCCAACAACACTATGCCCTCTACCCCTCCCACACATAACAACATATTGCCCTGTACCCCCCACACACCCAAAACCTATTGCCCTCTACCCCCCCCACACATTAACCTACTGCCCTCACTACTATACCCCCCCACCCCAACAACCTACTGCCCTCAAACCCCCCCCCACACACAAACACCTACTGCCCTCTACCAAACCCCCCCCACCACCAACCTACTGCCTTCAAACCCCCACCACCCAACAACCTACTGCCCCTCTACCCCCCACACACACCACACACAACCTACTGCCCTCCCTACCCCCCCACCCAACAACCTACTGCCCTCTACCCCCACCACACACCCAAAACCTACTGCCCCCTAACCCCCCACACATCCAACAACCTACGCCCTCTACCCCCCAACACACCAACACCTAATGCCCTCTACCCCCCACACACCCAACAACCTACTGCCCTCTACCCCCTCACCACACCCAAACAACCTACTGCCCTCACCCCCCCCACACAACTACCTACTGCCTTCTACCCCCCCACACATAACAACCTACTGCCCTCTCCCCAAACCCCCCACACCCCAACATCTACTGCCCTCTAACCCCCCCACACCCAACATCTACTGCCCTCTACCCCCCCCAACCCCAACCACACCCAACAACCTACTGCCCCTAAACCCCCCCACACCCAAAAACCTACTGCCTCTTACCCCCCACACCCAACAACCTACTGCCCTCTACCCCCACACCCTAAACAACCTACTACCCTCTACCCCACACACCCAACACCTACTGCCCTCTACCCCCCACACACCCACAACCTATTCCCGCTACCCCCCCACACAACAACCTACGCCCTCTACCCCCCCACCGGGACCCAACAACGCTCTGCCCTCTACCTACCCCCCCCACCCAACAACCTACTGCCCTCTAACCCCCCACACACCCCCAAAAAACCCTACTGCCGCTCTACCACCCACCGCCCCCCCCACACACACCACCACAACAACCTACTGTGCCCCCTCTACCCCCCCCACACAACCACCTACCTGCCCTCTACTACCCCCCCACCCACAACCTTATCTGCCCTCTAACTACCACCCCCCCCCACACACAAACACCCTACTGCCCGCTCTACCCACCACACACCTAAAAACCCTACTGCCCCTCTAACCCCCTGCCACACACCCCAAACCTACTACTGGCCCTCATACCCCCCCCACACCCCAAAAAAACCTACTGCGCCCTCTACCCCCCCACACACCCAAAAACCTACTGGGCCCCTCTACCCCACCACACACCCAAACAACCTACTGCCCTCTACCCCCCCCCCACACCCAACAAACCATACTGCCCATCTCGCCCCCCCACACAAACACCTACTGCCCTCTATCCCCCCACCACCACCAAACAAAACCTACTGCCCTCTACCCCCCCACACACCCGAAACAAAAAACCTGACTGCCCCTCTACCCCCCCACACAACCAACACTAACCTACTGCCATCTACCCCCCCCACACACCCAAAAACCTACTTGCCCTCTAACCCCCCCCCACACCCAACCAAAACCTACTTGCACTCTACCCCCCCAAACAACCCAAAACCCCTAACTTTGCCCTCAAACCCCCCCCCCCCCACCACCCCAACAACCTACTGCCCTCTACCCCCCACACACAACAACCTCTACTGCCCTCTACCCCCCCACACACCCAACGAACCTAACGGCCCTCTGACCCCCCCCCACCCAACAACCCTGACCACTTGCCCGCTACCCCCAACGACACACACCCCAAACAACCCTACCGTTTCCTCTACCCCCCACACACACACCCAACAACCCTACTGCCTCTACCCCCCCCCACACACCCAACAACCTACTGCCCTCTACCCCCCCCACACACCCAACAAACCTACTGCCCTCTACCCCCTCACACACCCAACAACCTACTGCCCTCTACCCCCCCCACACACCCAACAACCTACTGCCCTCTACCCCCCCCACACACCCAACAACCTACTGCCCTCTACCCCCCCACACACCCAACAACCTACTGCCCTCTACCCCCCCCACACCCAACAACCTACTGCCCTCTACCCCCCCCACCACCCAACAACTACTGCCCTCTACCCCCTCACACACCCAACAACCTACTGCCCTCTACCCCCCCCCCCACACCCAACAACCCTACTGCCCTCTACCCCCCACCCAACAACCTACTGCCCTCTACCCCCTCACACACCCAACAACCTACTGCCCTCTACCCCCCTCACACACCCAAAAACCTACTGCCCTCTACCCCCCCACACACCCAACAACCTACTGCCCTCTACCCCACACCCAACAACCTACTGCCCTCTACCCCCCCACACACCCAAAAACCTACTGCCCTCTACCCCCCCCCCCCCCCCCACACACACACACACACACACTCAACAACCTACTGCCCTCCAGCACCAACACACACACCCACTAGGTCATGTGAATGTGATATCTCAGTGGGAGCACCCCGTGCTGTTCCTGGAACCATGCCCGGCTTCTGCAACATCCCAGAAAATCATCCATTTGGCTCCAGCTCACTTTGCTGCTTCTAACATGAGGCTGGTCTGAGCTCTAAACTGCTTAGAAAACCACACTAGTTCCAGAACGTTGGGCGCTGCTCAGCTTTTCGGAACATTTTGAATATTAAGAGACCTTTTGCGTTAAAGAGAAGCAAATAATTAATGACTTATTGGGGGGGGGGAAAGAAAATCAACAGATTTACATTTTAACTCAGGATTACCTTGTACTTTTACTTTTGATTTACAACCCTGGTGATCCGTATCCAGGGCAAAACACCTATATGATGCTGCCTGTGATTGATGACCTTGGGTCGTTTCCCCCTCTCCCTCTCTGTAGCTTACCACAGCAAGTGTGTGGACCCCTGGCTGACCAAGACCAAGAAGACGTGTCCTGTGTGCAAGCAGAAGGTGGTCCCCTCTGCAGGCGACTCCGACTCCGACTCGGAGGGCGACAGTGCGGGTGAGGAGAATGAGGTGTCGGAGAGCACCCCCCTGCTGCGCTCCCTGGCCTCCACCAGCGGCCACTCCTTCGGCACCATGTCGGGTGCCTCGCGCTCCGAGCCTGATCAGGAGTCCTCCGAGTACGAAGACACCAGCGACGACAGCGAGGAGGACGTCACCGTGGAGACGGTCACCGTGGAGACGGTGGTGGTGCAGCTGCAGGAGCCCCGTCCCGACGACCATGACACGCCTGATTGGTTGGCCTGAGTTGACGGACAGGTCGCCGGTTCCCCCGCCTCTCCCACCCCACTCGCCCTTCTGGCTTGCAGCAGCAGAGACTCACGCTGGAGGCGTGACCGAGACTGTGTGTGTTTAATTTTGACATCCCTGTTTAATAAAAAAAATCATTTTATCTCCCTGTACGTTTCGAATGCAAATCACCATAATAATCCTTTTGTTGTATTTTTAACCTGATTTACTGAGCAGTGTCTGGATGACAAGGAGAGTCATGGCGTGTTTTGGGCTAACCGACGTGGATTTCACAGGAACGTTTCCCTACAGTGGACTGTACTGTCCTCTGGTTAGTCAGTATGGCGTGGTAGTACACCAGTAAGGCGCTCAACACCAACTGTGAAGGAATGCGTTGTGTGTGTGTGTGTATATAATGTATAGATCACCATACCTAACATCTTAAAACATGATTTTGTAGCCTGCATATCGGTACGCCTCTGTATCAGAAGGTGAGGAAGCTAAAAAAATAAGTTCTAATATTGTATATATTCTTGCTGCTTGTATCGAAATATCTTCAAGTACTACGCAGCAGCCTTTTATAAATTGATTGAACTGACCTTTTCCATGTGACTATAGAAACGAGGCCATGGGAACAGGGTTTTGCCAATCGGGCTCTAGCCGGAGATAATGGGAGCCAGTCGCTCATCTCAGAGTACGATTTGGATGCGACTGATCTGGTACGTTGATATGCAAAGACAAAATGATACCAAACCGTTTGTGGCGCTGCGTTCAGCCAAAGGAAGTTGTTTGTTTGCCCAATGTAATGGGTTTCCCCTCCAGAAGTCATATGTAATACAAGCAGAATTGGTGGGGAGACTGTTCTGTTCGGATAATACCAACGTCTTCGCTGCTCTAGACGTACCAGAGAGATAATTTCCCTGAAATGCAAGACGTCATTGGTGGATAGGTCTTGCAACATGTATTTGGTGTCATATCATTTTAATACTGTAAGTAGGAAGTTCTACAAGTATACTGAACAAAAATATAAAACGCAACATGTAAAGTGTTGGTCCCATGTTTCATAAACTGAAATAAAAAAAATCCCAGATAGTTCATACGCACAAATTTGTTTACGTCCCTGTTAGTGAGCATTTCTCCTTTGCCAAGATAATCCATCCACTTGACAGGTGTGGCATATCAAGAAGCTGATTAAACATAATACTAATTACACATGTACCTTGTGCTGAGGACAATAAAAGGCTATTTCCTAATGTGCAGTTTTGTCATACAACACAATGCCACAGATGTCTCAAGTTTGAGGGAGCATGCAATTGGCATGCTGACTGCAGGAATGTCCACCAGAGTGGTTGACAGAGAATTTGTTAATTTATTTACCATAAGCTGCCTCCAATGTCGTTTTAGAGAATTTGGCAGTACGTCCAACCGACCTCACAACAGCAGACCACGTTGGCAGGTGGCTTAGTGGTTAAGAGCGTTGTGCCAGTAACCGAAAGGTTGCTGGTTCTAATCCCCGAGCGGACTAGGTGAAAAATCTGCCCTTCAGCAAGGCACTTAACCCTAATTGCTCATGTAAGTCGCTCTGGATAAGAGCGTCTGCTAAATGACTAAAAATGTGTAACCACGCCAGCCCAGGACCTCCACATCCGGCTTCTTCACCTGTGGGATTGTCTGAGTATTTCTGTCTGTAACAAAGCCCTTTTGTGGGGAAAAACTCATTCTGATTGGCTGGCCCCGGCTGCCAAGTGGATGGGCCTATGCCCTCTAAGGCTGCACCCTTGCCCAGTCATGTGAAATCCATAGATTAGGGCCTAATGAATGTATTTCAATTGACTGATTTCCTTATATGAACTATCTCAGTAAAATCTTTTAAATTGTTGCATGTTGCGTTTATATTTTTGTTCAGTATAAAGTGTTCGATGTTGATAAGTCATGTCGCCTTTCCTTTTTATTTGATATGTCTTGTAAATGTCTCTCACCCTTATCTGCATTCAATCTAATTTCACTTCAATAAAGTTTTATTTTGATGGTCAACCGAATGTTGATGCCTTCCATCCATTTCAGGAGTTCTGATTATGACACACCGCCTCAGTGATTTAATGTGTTCATTGTCATGAGCCCTGTTCATACCTGGTATCCTTTGTCCCGATCTTGTCCACATTCTGATGGTGCCCACATTGACAATCAAAATACATTGCGATCAGATCCTGAACACCTCCAGAGGTAGTCCAACACACGTTGTCTGGACAGAGAAACCATTATCACTTCCACGTCGGCTTGAAAATCAGTTGTGTTGTGTCCAATTGATGCAGTTTCTTACATGAGAAATAGCCTGAACCGTTTTTTCCCCCTGATACTCGCCTTGTCTTGGTCTACACCCATTATGTTTCATTAAAATACAGCTTTAAGTCAAATCATGTGTCAAGGGTGGTCCTCTGTAGCTCAATTGGTAGAGCATGGCGCTTGTAACACCAGGGTAGTGGGTTCGATCCCCAGGACCACCCATACGTAAAAATGTATGCACACATGACTAAGTCGCTTTGGATAAAAGCATCTGCGAAATAGCATATTATATTATGTTGTTGCAGTGACACTCTTAAATTCCCAGTTTGGTTACTTCTACAGAAACCAAGATGTAACCAGATGGCAAATTAATAAATCAAGTCTACGATAGGATACTACAAAGAAATCAAAGGTTGCAATATATTGGGACCTTTCTGTACGGTGAAGAGGCACGTATTGAGCTCCAGTTACAGCCTTCTGAAACTGCTGCTGTGGCTCAAAAACCCTTTGAGCAGAGGTCCCCCAGAGAAGGGGGTAGAGTTCAACTTGAAAAACAAAGCACATACAATCAATCAATCTGGTTGGAAATCATTTATTTGATCTGTCTGTAAACAAAGGTGATAAATTGATTTATGGCATTTCTTGGTTTATGCATATGAAGTGTTAGGAGACTGTATCCCAGATGTAAGAAAAGGGGTGTTGGGAAAGAAATGAACAGAAATCAGCAAATAAAGACTTTTAATTAGTACACATCCCACAAGGCCTGAACATTGGAGCTGTTGCGAAAACACTCCTAAAAAAAGTGCCAATGAAATGACTCCTTCCTGGGCAGCAGTTAAAATCCATCACACAATAGCAACCGATGTTTCTACATTATGGCACAGGATACACAGGAATTGTATTCAAGATTCCACAAGACAATCAAAGTGTTTATTCCAACCAATCCCATCAAATTGTGTAATTTCTCCTTATTTTTTAAAGTTATTTTCAAATTGGACATTACAGTAAGTACCAAGCTTGAAAAGACAGTTTGATACCATATCTTAGTTGAACACCAGAGTACAAGGCCATTTCTTCCACAGTCATTTATTCACACAGCATGGGTTTAGAAATGCAGTAAATCATTTAATTTAAAAAAAGAAAAATCTAAAAAGGTTGACAAATTATGAGACTGCGATTTCCTCCACCGCAAACACTCCCCTTTTGCCTTCAGCAGAAAGATGTGGTTTTACATTAGCGTCGTTTTGCCTGAAAGATGAGGCTAGAAGTCATCCTTCACAATGACTTAAGAGCAATTGTATAAATACCCAAAAGATGCAACTAAAATTGGTCCTATGAAAAATGTCAAACTGGATGTTTTTGCTGGGATATCTACTGTCCAAAATGGCAGCCTTTCCCCCCCAAAAAAATAAAAAGAAATATATTACAGGAGCTGGCAAACAGTTTAAGCGCCTGAACCATTGTAATGATGGAATGTCCATGATGGGGTTCACGTAGTCAAGGAGGTCATGAAGAGGACAAGGAAGAGATTCTACCTGCATCAACAATGCCGATTTTGCCTTTTGACTCGATCAATACCAAAACTGATAGCCTGCCAGGACTGCATTGAAGCGCAACCCCCCCCCCCCCCCCCCCCATCCCCCATCCGGTACAGAGTAGTGAGGCTGGGAGGCGGAGCTACAAGGGACTTTAGGGTGTAGTGGTTGGTTAATGGAGGAGTATTCCTTCCGTGTACTGATGTAGTGTCACCTACTATGGACAAACAGGAAGAGAAAGAGAGGGAAGGAAGGAGCTACAGACATTTGGCATGAGTTACGGGGGGGGGGGGGGGCAGAGGGAACAACAGTATTTCAGTAGGCTCTAAGATATGCATGCAGTTTCCCCACCCCAAAACATGCTCTAGAAAAGGAAGACCATGAGCTCGGTTACCGCTCAAGTGCTCCAAAAAGGCATCGGCTGCTCAAGGGTGTGAACGTCCGGGAACCATCATACGAAATCTCAGTTCATCAATTTAGGTTTCCTTCACTTTATTAGAGTTTTTTCACTGAGCATTGGCCAGAATGGTGCAGGTGTACATCTTATTATTTTAAATATATTTTTTTTTTTTTTTTTTTTTTTTTTTTTTAAGTACAGATTTGTCACAATGTCCTGTTAACAACATGCTCATCTTTAACTACGGTGCAACAGTGCTAGAATGGGATTGAGTACACAGTGTGAATGCATCAAGATGACTGGGGCAGAACAAGAGAAAGGGTGAATAAAATAAAACAAAAAGGGGGGGGGGGGGGGGACAATAGGAGGGGCTGGGGAGAAAAGTAGAACTGGAAGAGCGTGTTAAGGGTGAGCTGCTAGGTGGCTGGGCAGATGCTGCTTTAGTATCCAGACTTCCTCAGGTAGTCAGCCATTGTATACGCTTTCTTGTTGAGCTGTCCTCCATGGACACCTTCCTTTCCCATGACTAAAACCAACGCTGGAGTACAAGAAAAAAAAACAAGAACAGAAATGAACAGATGTGTAGGTGGGGGGGGGGGGGGTGGATAAGAAACCCCTTTTCCCCGTTAACTGTGGGGCTACATTGTTGAAGTCAGGGTCTTAACCATGTGACCCTGTACTGCTATTAACGCTTCCAGGACTCATTTAAAAATAGGACTGCTTGAAAAGGAAAAACTTAACAGCAATGTATTTTTCTTTCCTCTACCTCAACTCCTACACTTAGGCTAAGACTAAAACTAGAACCCCTCAAGTATTTTTGCCATTGAGTAATTATTCAATCCACCTCCATGGACACCTTTGCCCATTACAAGAACCAAGACTGAAAGAAAAAGAGAGCAGGGAAATTTAGAGAAAATGTGAAGTTGGGATATCTTAAAAATAAAAAATAAAAGTTTAAGAAACGGTCCAATCAAAAAACAAGCAGGAAGACAGGAAGAGCACCAGAGGACCCCCACCCATAGCCAATATGCAAGCATTCATTTTATTAAGGCTTGGCCTTGGACTGGGAGAAGAAAACATGCAAAGCGGTCACTACAATGATGCAATAGTGCGGACGATTCCAGAAAACCCATTAGCATACAGTAAAATAACCTAACATTATCCATCCTACTCTTCCTGAACTAGTAAGTGGAACGTCTGAATCATCCCCTTATGTTAACAAAGTCCATAAATGGTATATTTTACCCATTTGGAAGCCTTGACATTACTAACTGCCATAAGCAACAGTTGAGCACAAATTGCTCCGTTTCTAAACTGGTGTAAAAAAAAGGCGGCAATGACAAATTCTGTAAATTAGAAATGAAAACCCCATGGTCTAAGCCTTTCTTCATCCTCTGCTTAGCTAACTGACAGCGTCTACATGGCATGCCAACACTAACACAATATACACATGCAGTGTCAGCATGCTTGCAGTACCACTCCTCAATACATACGAACAGCAGCATAATCCTTGACTGCCACTCTCTGGACTAGTCTTAACATGTGACGGGGAATAATTTGAACTGGACACCGAAGAGTTGCCAAGGTGCATCAATTACAGAGGGATGGATAGGGGATATGCATGCAATTCAAGAGCGATTCTATGAGGAGGAAGACCGAAACCAGAAGAGAAACGATTGCCCAGCGACAGAAAACCCTCCCACCTGTGTACTTCAAGTAGGGGGCGTTATGGACTTAAACCTGCTAGGGCCATTGGAGAATAGGGATAGTCAAGGCTAAATGAACATTGGCCCAACTCAACTCACAGGCATATTGTTTTTCAAATGACCATCTCGCCTTCAATTGGACAGACAAACATGGCATTGGTGGATAGTTTGACTGGCTAGCAGTTAAAATCAGTGTCCCCCGAATCAGATCTGATACAAAACTAACACTTCTTTACAACTTTTGTACTTGATTTGCTTTCTTAACTTGAAAGAAGACTTGAAATTGAACACTCCCTCTAAATGTATCCCTCCCTGAACAAGTTAAAAAACGTTATACTGCATAAACCCCAACTCTTTCCTCACACATACAGTACCAGTCAAAAGTTTGGACACGCCTACTCATTCAAGGGTTTTTCCTTTATTTTTCTACATTGTATAATAATAGTGAAGACATCAAAACTATGAAAGAACACATATGGAATCATGTAGTAACCAAAAAAAGGTTAAACAAATCAAAATATATTTTATATTTGAGATTCTTCAAAAAGCCACCGTTTTCCTTGATGACAGTTTTGCACACTCTTGGCATTCTCTCAACCAGCTTCACCTGGAATGCTTTTCCAACAGTCTTGAAGGAGTTCCCACATATGCTGAGCACTTATTGGCTGCTTTTCCTTCACTCTGCAGTCCAACTCATCCCAAATTGGGTTGAGGTTGGGTGATTGTGTATCGCTGCAGAATACTGTGGTTAAGTGTGCCTTGAATTCTAAATAAATCACAGTGTCACCAGCAAAGCACCCCCACACCACCTCCTCCATGCTTCACGGTGGGAACCACACATGTGGAGATCATCCGTTCACCTGCTCTGCGTCTCAAAGACACGGCGGTTTGAACCAAAACTCAAATTTGGACTCATCAGACCAAAGGACAGACTTCCACCGGTCTAATGTCCATTGCTTGTGTTTCTTGGCCCAAGCAAGTCTCCTCTTATTATTGGTGTACTTTAGTAGTGGTTTCTTTGCAGCAATTCGACCATGAAGGCCTGATTCACACAGTCTCCTCTGAACAGTTGATGTTGAGATGTGTCTGTGACTTGAACTCTGAAGCATTTATTTGGGCTGCAATTTCTGAGGCTGGTAACTAATTAACTTATCCTCTGCAGCAGGGGTAACTCTAGGTCTTCCTTTCCTGTGGCGGTCCTCATGAGAGCCAGTTTCATCATAGTGCTTGATGGTGTTTGCGACTGCACTTTAAGAAACTTTCAAAGTTTGAGATTTTCCACATTGACTGACCTTCATGTCTTAAAGTAATGGACTGTCGTTTCTCTTTGCTTATTTGAGCTGTTCTTGCCATTATATGGGCTTGGTCTTTGACCAAATAGGGCTATCTTCTGTATACCACCCATACCTTGTCACAACACTACTGACTGTCTCAAACGCATTAAGGAGGAAAGAAATTCCATAAAACACCCGTTAATTGAAATGCATTCCAGGTGACTACCTCATGAAGCTGCTTGAGAGAATGCCAAGAGTGTGCAAAGCTGTCATCAAGGTAAAGGGTGGCTATTTGAAGATTCTCAAATATAAAATATATTTTGATTTGTTTAACCTTCTTTGGTTACTACATGATTCCATATGTGTTATTTCATAGTTTTGATGTCTTCACTAATATTCTACAACGTAGAAAATAGTAAAAAATAAACAAAAACCCTGGAATGAGTAGGTGTCCAAACTTTTGACTGGTACTGTAACAGTTGAGGTAATGCATTACACTTAGGTTCTGTGCTTAACATAATGGCGTCAATATATCAAGACTAAGTAAGCGTGCCCATTTCAATTGTATCATATACCCTTTTAATGCCCATCTAGGGACTGATGGAGCAAATTGGCATAAGCATAATGGTGATGATTTAATGTGTCATGCTTTTAATTGAATATGTCTCTTAAATAAATACACTATTTATATATATATGAGAGAGAGAGGGGAAAGGTGAATACCAGTATATTGTACATGCACAGCAAACTACAATTACAACCAAACTAAATCAATGCACTAGCCTACATACAGCAGTGAAGAAATGGGATGGACACTACCTTTCCCAGCTTTGCCTATGGAAACGTTGTATGTGGGCTCTCCTCCTTGACTCTTTGTCCTGATGTCCATCGTCCAGTCCCCGTCGGCGTGGAGGCTGTCTCTGATGACGGAGCACTTCTTTTGGCCTAGGGTCAACCCACCGCAGAAGAACGCTTCTCGGTCCTTTCCTACAATGACGTCGATTTCGTCAACCTACGGATGACCATGTAAAAGTTTGAAAGCCATTAAATTTTCAAATGCAGAATTATTTTTTTTTTTGTCATTTAGCAGACCTTATCCAGAGCGACTTACAGTTAGTGAGTGCATACATTCTTTTTTATTTTTCATACTGGCCCCCCGTGGGAATCGAACCCACAACCCTGGCGTTGCAAACACCATGCTCTACCAACTGAGCTACATCCCTGCCGGCCATTCCCTCCCCTACCCTGGACGACGCTGGGCCAATTGTGCGCAGCCCCATGGGTCTCCCGGTCGCGGCCGGCTACGACAGAGCCTGGGTAGGGCTCTTACCCGATAAGTTAAGAGCCAAATGTGACAGCCTCATTTTCTCCAATACACTGTCTAAAACTGCAGGACTCCAAGCTAAATAAAAATTCAAAGTTCCTGAGAGCATTATTTGGCAGTCAAATGCAGTTTGGCTTCTTTTGAAATAAAATTGGGAAATGTTTTGAGTTGCTGTTGTCCAGTCCATTTCATAAGTATCGCAGTTCACATTTGTCCTACCAGACAGAAAGAAACATGTTGAAAAGTTGTTCAGGGTACCTTGTGTTAGAGATTGATACAGTATAACCATCTCACAGGACAGTGTGTCCATATTCCGCATGTGGCTTGTTGAATATTTATGGACTCTCAGTAGACTATACCTTGGCATAGCTAGTAGCTCTAGCTGGTCAAAAAACTAGATTTCACCGCTAATACTGCACTAACTGTTAGACTATGCTATCCCGTTCGTTTTGCATGCCTCTAAATTTGGGAAAAATCGAATTTTAGGAGATTAGACAAGCCCTGGCTAACGTTGTTAGCTAGCTAGTTGGCCGCCTCGTTTAAGCCAGTCTCTAAAACACTAGTTTAGCAGAAGCCCGAGCAACGCTGTCCACCAAGGCAGTACAGTAGGACAACTGACCGCTTTACAGCTTGCCTACAACCTGTAACATTTGACCATAAGCCTAACAGAGCAAGTGCCAACTCATTCAATTCACATCTATGAGAATGAGCCCAGGGTATCAAACAGCTAATGATTAACTGTCTAGCCATAGCTTAGCAAAGCGGCTAGCTAGAATACTGACAAGGAAGCAGCTCAATGAAAAATAACCCCCAAGACACACGGATATCGATGATAGAGGAGCCGGTGTGGTCTAATGTATCTTGCCGCAGTCCCATCCTAGCTAGAAAGATGGCTAACGTTTGGTAGCTAAAACATGTTTGTTATCGAGCTAGCATGTAGCAAACTATGAGCATGATGAAGATGCAAACACAATGGAAGAATTGCTCTGCACGCGCGTGAATTTAAATGCTGCAATCTGGGACAAGCAACCCTTGTTAAATAGTTCATTTCCATGCTTGATAGCTAACAAAATGGTGGGCTCATGAATGACCAGCAGTGATGCAATATGTTATCTTAATAAACGTGCAAGCTAATGGTGTGGTATTTTATTGTACAACGACCAATTTGCTTCGAACTGGTGCATATAAATTATGTTTCCATACGATTAATTGCGTAGACTGGAAGGGTAAAAAAATGAATGCAGGCAGTGGAGGCGCCATCTTGGGAAATTAGAAGGGGCGGCAGTATTGCTGCGAGGGCCCGATTCACAAATGCGTTTCCGAACTATGCGGAGTCTACAATTGTACATTTAACGTATGCATACAGCGCAATGATCCGCCAACTTTGCCTAATGATTTTCGAATCTGGATGACCGGACAGATTTTGTGCCATTTTTCGCTGCCACCGCCGTTCCTCCCAAAGCCCGCATTGCCGACTAGACATAACTGGAAACTGGTTTCAATTTAATATTTGTGGTAACAAGTTTCTGAACACACGCTTTAAATGCTTTATGTACGAGTTATCTAGCTGACGCCAAATAGCCTGGCTAATGTGTTGATAACTAGTTAAAATGTGTTAGTTAGCTGGTTAACGTTAACAGTAGCTAGTTAGACCACAACTACTTGAATGTAGTTGTGTTCCTAAACCTATTCACTGATATTTCTAATAACCATGTGAAAAGTCCTCATAGCTGTACCGAAGAACACCGGATACCATGTGTTAGTTAGGTCGCTAGCGTAACTAGCTAACACACACTGCCTGCCTTATCAATCCGTCTGGGGCTTTCCCTTTAGGCAGGGCCCAATTCCCATATTAAACGAACAGCCTAAAATGCCGGCATTTCCCTGGCTGGTAGATTAGTATTTTAGTTATTATTAAAATGTCCTTACCGTTATGTTAACAAATGTACCACCGGGAAACGATGCCCAGACATATTTGGCGTCTGTGTACCCAACAATGGCGGAGTCCTGGCAGCTGCCATCGGCCATCAGGTTATCCACGTAGCCTTGCCAGGACATACTTGCGTATTAGTTGAAATGTGGAAATATATTTTTTTAAAATACGTGACAGGTAATCTGGAGCAACAGTGAGGGTTCTGTAAGATGTATTTTCGGTGATTCTGGAGTCTCCAACAATTCCCCAGCTCCGTCACGTCCCCGCTTTCTTCTGGGTATGGGCAGAGAAGAGAAGCCACACAGCAATCGGGCAGCGCTTGGGTGTAGTCCTTAAATAAATCACTCCGCGCAGTCGTTGTTAGGCTGAACTTTATAGCAAATCTTTGGTTGTCGCGGATGAATAAAATGAGCGTTCCAAATAATGATTTGTACGGGTGTGGTATCTATTTTACTTATTTGTCAATATGCTGCTAATTATTGTCGTTTGCAAGTCAATCTTATGTGGTATTTTACACAAGCAGTATGCCCCCTCTGACCAATGACAGACTTCATTTGTCATATGACATGCATGAATAGTCCTTCTTTTCCCGCCACGATGTCCTTTATGAATCAAAGCTTCAAAGTATCAGTCATTGGAATTTCTATTCAATTGTTGATATCATCATCAATGATCATTAGATTCTTGTGCGATAATTTGTCAGACATCTATGATTGAAAGCGTGCAATAGTCACATTTTATTTATTGTGTTACACTATATTCCTTCAGTTTACAATGTTACTTATTTTACAACAAACAAGTCTGAGATCCAAAACTAGCCTATTTAGCTCCACTTTATAAGAAAATAGAGGTCGCCATATTTGGGGACATTTAATGCATGTGATTGAACTAGTATAAGTTCTTGTGGCAGGTCAGGCCAGTGTGACGCCTATCACAATAAACGTGGTGTACAGAATAAAGACACTTGTTGGTTACATATTAACTCGCTCAGGGTGTAACATATTGGAGTAGATGTCTATTCAGCAATCTGCATGATACAATAGATTTTCTGCTTTTTCTCAGAAGCTGTATTTAGCATGTAACAAAAAACAATCATATGAGAAAGTGGTAAACAGTGCAACCTCTTTCTAACCTGGTCCCAGATCTTTGTTCTATCATGTCAACTCCTTGTCTCTCATTGTCATGACAAGTTGATGATAGCACAAACAGATCTGGGAACAGGCTAACCTCTTTCCACATGTTCTAATCAACTTGCTCTCACAAAAAGAACATCATCTGGGAGTAGGCATCATTTTATTTCCTCAGAGAGGCAGAATGTGACCATTGTCTCTGGGCTTTTTTTTTTACCTAGGATGATTCATTCATCCCTTGACCCTCTCTCTCTTTTGGCATTTCAGTAGTACTGTAACATAATTCCCACTGTAAGAATGGCTGAGTTATTACCCATGACTCTACCCCTGACCCGTTGTGGAATTCATCCAATCCAAACACTTTGCACCCTGATAATTTGCATGATATTGCCATGTTGGGACTATTTACTTCAGAGGTGTGGTTTGTTTTGCTGAGTTCAAAGTTCATACACTTTTCACAAAGGTTCTAAGTAATATGTTCAGGCAGGGAAGGTCAAAAAACAACTGGAGACGCTCCACTGAGTAAAGCGGGGATCTCCTGGCTAGAGGCAAAAGCCTTCTCACAGAAGAGAGTGAAGTGGAGACCCATGGTGGAAGCCCTATGCTCCCAAGGGGCTAAGAGGTTTAAGTAAGTATTCCTCATAAAAACCAGCATCTGTTATATAAATATACTTCCTTCTCTTACCTCCCAATTGAAATAACCATAGTTACTGTATGTGACTGTCTTTGTTTTTCCAGAAAGGTGCAGAGGAACATAGCAATATAGCATTAGTTTCTCTTAGTCCAGAATACCTGGAGTTTCACCTTGCCTTATCTGTGTGTTGTCAAATAGCTAACCCTAATCATAACCTTCTCCTAGCCTGCCAAGTTAATCATCCTAACCTTCTGCGTAAATTCTCCTAACCTGCTACGAAAAAGTAACTTTAGGTCGTAGCTGTACTCCCTCTAGTCAGAACCTCCAATCAGCTGACCACGTCCATATCCGTCCTATGTAGTTGATTTCCAGGCCAACCTTTGTTGTGTAGAGGTAGTTTGACCAACCAACTGAGTGAGTCAGTCAGCCAATGAGTCATAGACAGAAAGCTGATCCTTTTTTTTTTTTTTACTGAGGAAATAACTCAGCAATAGTAAACTGCTGGCAAGGCAATCCTGATATGGTCACTCACTAATATGTCACAGCACCCTTACAATAGTCCTATTGTATAGTACAGGGATGGGCAACTGGTGGCCCGCCCCCCCTTAAAATAAAGAAGGAAAAAAAGGTGCAATTTTTGAAAATTGGTAGTGCATCAGCAGTTTTCCTCTTGTTATGTCAGTCACTGACTGTCACTCAATTAGCGCATGTTAGGTAACATTTTTAAGATTGGTAAGTTAGTCTAGCCAGCTACAGTATCTAAACTTGTAATAATCATGGTGAAATTACAGACCGGGGGGGGGGGGCTCCCATTGCTTTTGTTAGTCACTCTCACTCAGATATCATATTCAAAACTGCAAACATTTCTCTCCACCCCATGGAAAAATTAGTGGAATTGCAGGAAATTAGTTATACAATTGCAAAATCTTCTCTCCGCTCCATGGCAAACTGTGTAGAATTGCAGCTAACTTGCTTTAAAACTGCAATATTTTCTCTACACCCCATGGCAAAATGTGTAGAATCGCAGGAAATTAACTCTAAAGCTTAAATGTTTTCTCTGCACTGTCAAGAAAAGGGCCACTAAAGTGTTTTGCTTGCAAGGGGGGGGGGGGGGGGGGGGGGGGCAACAAAATGTCACTTAGGGCCCCTAAAAGGCTAGGGCCGGCTCTGACTTCATGTGTGGTTATGGATGTGGGTACGCAGATCCGCGAGCAACTGCGGTCCCTCATGATGAGCTCAGATTTTTTTTGTGGCCCCCACCCTCATCAAAGTTGCCCATCCCTGCTTCTGTTACTGTCACAGCTTCTCGGCTCGGGAAGCTCATTGACTCTGTCATTCACTGGTGTTCACTAATAACCTGAGCATCAATCCACTACTGATAACCTGAGCATCAACCCACTACTAATAACATGAGTATCAACCCACTACTCTGTCATGAATGGATGGACCCACCCTTACTCCACACCAAGACAGGACCAAATATAGAGGCTGATACTGTATATGAGACTAGAGGAACAACAGTGATATATGGGACTAGAGGAACAACAGTGATATATTGGACTAGGGGAACAACAGTGATATATTGGACTAGAGGAACAACAGTGATATATTGGACTAGAGGAACAACAGTGATATATTGGACTAGGGGAACAACAGTGATATATTGGACTAGAGGAACAACAGTGATATATTGGACTAGGGGAACAACAGTGGTTAGTTCCCTAAAGATGACCCAGAGAGAGATAGAGATTACTAGAAATCTTAACCGTTCCAAGACCCCCTGCTGTCATTCAACAGTGTGGGGTCTGTCAAATCTTTGGCTGATTTGGGTAATCCCTATAATCTGGGAGGTCTTGTATTTCCCATTTGTGCGAAATAGTGGGGAAGAGTATCTAAATTAAAAACAAATTAGGTTACCCCATAATTAGTTTGTTCACTCATTATTTTGAGTGGCATGTCCCCCTCCCCAAAAACAAATAAGGAGATTGCATTCATATTATTGGTGGTGGTAACATGTCATTTAATGAAACAAAATGAAACTGGTGAAACTAGATAATTCAGGTGGGATTTATTTAGCTGGATTCATACACTGAGTGTACAAAACATTAAGGACACCTGCTCTTTCCATGACATAGACTGACCTGGTGAATCCAGGTGAATGCTATAATCCCCTATTGATGTGACTTGTTAAATTCACTTCAATCAATGTTGATGAAGGGGAGGAGACAGGATAAAGAAGGATTTTTAAGCCTTGAGACAATTGAGACATGGATGGATTGTGTATGTATGCCATTCAGAGGGTGAATGTTGTGAAACCCAGTGAGCATAAAATATAAAAATAAATAAAAGCGTATTCAATCTTTTTAATGTCTTGTGCTCATAGGGCACACAGAGCACTAATGGGTTATGGGTAAGTGTGTACACTCTAAATATAGAGAGCTGTGATTTTAATATATCACTATCACAGGAGGTTGGTGGTACCTTAATTGGAGAGGACGAGCTTGTGGTAATGTCTGGAGCGGAATCAGTGGAATGGTATCAAATACATCAAACACATGGTTTCCATGGTTTCCATGTGTTTGATGCCATTCCATTCACTCCGTTCCAGCCATTATTATGGCCGCCCTCCACTCAGTGGCCTCCACTGATGTAAACAGTTTCACATTCTATTCTATTCTATTCTACAAGCCCCAAGAGATTAAAAGCTCAGAATTACTCCGTTTCCATGTTTTCTCCTTTCTGCCGGCATAAACACATCGCTGAACCCAGCTTTCCTTATCGACATTTCAAAGGCGACATTAATAAATGAAGGAATGTGTCTGTCCAACCCTTTTACACAGTAATCTCACGGCACTTTAACTGGGGAAGACAGGCTCATAGTAATGGCTGGATCGGCATAAATGGAATGGTCTCAAACATCTAGTTTCCATGTATTTGATACCATTCCATTAACTCCATTCCAATGCCGTCCTCCCCTCACTTACTTCCTCCGCACCCATTGTTTCACACCCATGAAATGGTGTTTGTATTCAATTTATTTAGCTGACTTAATAGACGGCACCTCGCCTATCGCAGAACAATGTGTTGACTTGGCCTTGAGACAAGGTAACGGAGTGAATGACTGGAATAGACTGGAAGCTAGAGGAATTTCAAAAGGTATTTGTCTTCCCTGTGCTCCGGAGAGGTCTGAGTGGTGTGCTGCATGATTTCAGACATCAAGTCTTTCCAGAGGGGCTATCATTCAAGAGGAATGGTGACGTTAGCCATAGTTGTTTTTCCTTGAGCTGTACCAGCGCAGCGCATAAAAAAATGGAGGAGCAGCAGGTAGAGAAGATGGGAGAATTGGTGCTGTTTTCATCCTCAACTCTCCTGACCCCCTGTCACACCCACTGAGTTGGTGCTGTTTTCATCCTCAACTCTCCTGACCCCCTGTCACACCCACTGAGAATCAATACAACAGCACACAGCTAATTGTTGATCAGTGCAACAAGTAAAACGTAAAATCCTTAGAGATCTTGCTTTTCAGGAAACCATATTCTCATAACAGGCATGTCATGTA